TTTGTGGATGTACAGCTACATTTCTCATGTAAGTTTGCGTAGTTTTAACACAAACATTTATTTTTCATATTGCACCAGTACAGTTAATGAGCAACCTGTACTTGTGTGCTTCTTTGTTCTGTCTAAAATGTTTATTTTGGAATAAAGAGGTTAATATAAAAAATATTTTTTGTCCGATTAATCGATTAATCGAAAAAATAATCGGCCGATTCGTCGATTTTTAAAATAATCGTTAGTAGCAGCCCTAGCTCATTCCTTCCTCTGTGTTTCACTAATACATCTTATTTTCTCCAGTGATGAAGATACTGTCTTACCTGTCCAGTGTGTCTAAAGAGAAAGGTTGGGTGGAAAAGCGCAAATAGCACTTTTTGTAGAACCACACAGTCAGAGGGTTCCAGTCAGTGACCAGAAACCATTGGCGAATATCAAACTTGGTACCATGGACCAGAAAGGGCTGCTCAATGTACTTCTGCACCACCCACCTACTGGGGCTGGTAATTGCTGAATACTTGTCCACTGGCCTGAGGATCTGATCAAGATGTTTTACACATTTTATGCCTTAAAGAAAAAAAAACTGATCAGATATAATGTTTTAGATAGTATTTCAAGTGTCCAGTCAGCATCCTACCTCGGCCCCTGGACATTGCCACAGGTTTGATAATCCAGATGTTTTGTTTGCCATCGATGCCCAGCTGTGGGTTGACCTTCTCCAGTTGCTGCAGCATGGCCTTACAAGAATTGACCAGATGTTTGCTTCCTTTAATCTGTACTCCATCACTGAATAAGGAAGCAGAGAGAGTGCTGTTAAGATCCTGATGGGCGCTTTCTCTGGACAGATATTTCCTTTCAAACGCCCACTGATGTGTACTCACTGAGCAACCAGATAATAACTGTTTAAAAACTCTGCCCACTGATCCTGTGTGAGCGTCTGTGGTGTTTTAAAAGTTTTATCAATGTCTTTGTGCTCCAGCTTTTCCAGGTACTCATGGCAAACTTTTAGGGCGCTGTAAATCATTTGGGAAGGGAGCGATTGCTCAGAGCAGTGGTTGATCTCTTTCTTCTGCCCTGATTGTGAAGAGGGACAATGACATCTTCAGTCAGATGAGCAAGTGTAAGAAATGTGAATATAACCCCTCAAACCTTTTAAACTCTCATTTTACTACTTCCTGAGAATGCATGATAAAAAAAACAACAAGTGGTGCGTAGTTTTGAGGAAAATAAAGATGCAGGGTTTTCAAAGCAGGTTAAGATTAAAGCATATTCGTGTGATAATCCAGACCTGAATCCAATCGAAATCATTGATTACACTTAACAAAGTGCTCTCCATCCAGTCTGATTAAGCTTGATTTACTTTGCAAAGAAAAATTGGGAAATAGTGTCTTGATTTCCAAAGCTGGTGTGAGGTGATTCTCCAATTGTTCACTTTCCATTTCAAAGTAGGTTTGCATAAAAACCCTCAGAAAATACACAAAATCTTGTGACGAAATAAAAGCAAATGCTGGAGGCAAACTTGTGAGAAATAATCCTACTATGAAGATCCTGGTCTCTCTCCACAATTAACCTCAGAAGACTGGTGCAAGCTGTTCGCCTGAAGTCCTCTAGAGAGGACAAAGAGAGAACGAAATCTCCATGAGCAACTTTAGACCCCATGCAGTGTAAAGAAAATGATTTGCACTGTTGATGTGTTGATGAATGCAAAGAAAAAAAAGAAGAAAAAATCTGACCAATGAAGGCCTGCCTTTCATCCTCCTCTGTAAGGCTGTAACACCGAGGGAAGAAGGTGCCTGGGTCTGCTGTGTCAAACCAGTGAAGGTTCCTTAAGTTCACACACAACCCCACCTGTTAGTGTGCAGGAAGGTGATAGGGGGTGAATGAGAAGGGTACATGTAAAAAATGTCTTTTTTCTGATAAAAGCTGAGAAGCGATTGCAAACTTACTTTAGTGGTAAAAGTGCCTGCATTAGCGAAATGATTGATGATTTGGTTTTTCTGCAAGCTGTTTGGGTTGATTGCATCTCTGGTCCAATAGAAATAAACCATCTCATTCTTCACAAGGCGAGACTAAAATAATAATAAACAGGTATAAAAGGGGATGGGAAGGGCCACTGGGCTTTAAAGCTGAAGTCTGTAAGTTTTTAAAAATCACTTTTTTGTCATATTGGCTAAAACTGTCCCTATGCCCAGACAGCAGTACATGTGATATGTAACCTGTGAAAAAAACTGCTTCAATTGGTGCCGCCTACTGCCTGTATTTCAATCTGGAAAGAATAATTCGGGACGAGTCAAAACAACCAATCACAGCCAGAGGAGCGTCTGATGGAGTGTCAATCACAGCTCACACACGCTGAATACCGCCCCCCCCCCCCTTTTGGTCGCATGGTAGCGGTAGATGCTGTGAGAGGGGTGGAGCTTGGAGGTGGGGCATGAGTGAAGCAGAGAGGGTGGGGGAGTGGCGTGAAACCTGTTTTTCTTCAAATTTTCAGTCGAAGTCGGCTCTCTTCTCAATGTTACAGACTGCAGCTTTAAATACAAAGAGCTTTGCTATGATGGTTCACAAAAGAAACTGAGGCTGCAGTTACCATGAGACTGTGCAGTTGATCTGGATTTGGTTCTTTCTCAGCATCCTCTAAGGTGTCTATGAGGAAGAATTAACATTCAAGAAATCATCTATAAAATGTTGGCCCTAGCAGATGCTTTAAGCTTACCGTTATATTTCAAGGAGCTGGTTCCACTGCTGTGACGCTTCTGGGCCTGTTGCTTAGAACCATACATGCAACGTTCAATCCAGCCCCTTGCCCTCAGAGCTGCCCTGATGACAGGATATGGACCTTGGATGGAGAATATCTTCTTCATCTGACACAGCAAAATCATAAGACATTGTTTCCCTCTGGGAGCAATCAGAGTTTTGGTCCTAATTAGACAGCATAGAGAAATTGCAGCCCACCTCAATGGCTTTGCCAACCAAAATCCTGGCCATCTTCAGTCTGTCTGTGTTAAGTTCAGGTAACTCAGCTCTGACCTCAGGGAATTTTCCTGACACACAATCATATAAACAAACCATTTTTGACCAAGTCCAGATGTACAAAAGCAGGTTAGAGGACACCGAGGGTTATTTTCAAAGAGATGCGAGAAATGTCACAAGATTATTTGGATCAGAAATTCTTATCTATAATTTACTAGTTAGAGGTATAAATCAAAGTTGTATCATTTAGGTTAGAAATGGCAATACTATACAACTGAAACTTTAAACTTTATAATCAAGATTTTATATGATTATTCAGAACATAAGAGTGCATAATTGCTTAGATAATAAGGAATTCTTAAAAGTGTGGCATGTATTTGCATTCTGCAGTCTTTTGGTAGATGTCTCTACCAACCCTACTGATCTATTTACTTAAATAATCTTACCACACATTCTTAGTTAAATTTAAAGTTGAACTTTTGCTGGAGCCTTCTATCCTACAGGAAGTTGAACCTCTACCCTGATCTCAAGTATTTTGCAGCCTCTAACCAGCTTTGCCAGGTATACAGCCCAAACATCTTCTCTGACTAGCTTCCTGACTGCTGAAGCAAAGCACCCATTTCCCATTGCATAATGCTGCCACCACTTTGTTTTACCTCAGTTTGATGTCTTCGGGAGGATGTGCAATGCTTATACTAAATTTAACAGTGTCAAAATAATAGAGTGGGCTGTTTTATTTGGAGAAAATCTTCTGAAAAATCATGTAACTTTAACCCCTCCCAGCCACAGACTGAATAGTTTGCTTGGATGTATCACATGAAATCCCTATAAAATAAATTCAAGCATATGAAATAGATCAAAGGGTATTAATACTTTGCAAGGTTTAGTGTGAGACGAAACCTGAACTCTGAAATCTAGACACAAGCGTGACCACAATAGTCACATCAGATAAAAACATTTTCATTTTTTTTATTAAAACTGTTCACTTACGTGATGCACAGTGTTTGATAGCATCCTCCCATTTCTTCTTGTTCAGGATTATAGCCTTGTCAGAGCCGGTGGCCTCCATTCTGACAGCAACCCTTATTCCCAAGGGAAACTACTTCTTAAATTGCGTTAGGTCCACCCTCTTACACCTTTGGCATAGAAACAGACAGCAGGTTGTGCGCAACTAAAAGAAAACACATGTCTCTGACTGCATTAACAAATATTTATAAGTTTTAAGCTGCCTCTGACAGCTGGGGTAGTTTATAAGCCCCTATATCCATGTGCATCACAGCATTAAGTGGGTCAAACTACTTTGTAGGAGACGGCTCGGCTCCACCTGAAAGATATCATTCAGCACCATATAAAGGTGTGACGCTTTCTTTATGTTATAGCTGAGAAGCAAAATGTACACAGCTACCAGCCTGCTCATTAGACACGTTCACCTCTTTTATACACTATGAAATCACCTCTACTTTCCTTGTTGTTTACTAAAACAGACCACCTAATTTTCTGTAATTTTCTGTCACTTACCCCAGCAGCCATTGCAATAGGAGTTTCTGTGTTATCAAACACCATCATTTTAGACATGGGCATCTCACCTTTTCTTTTGTTGTGGTGAAAGTTGTAAGTTTCTTGAAACTGAATTTCTTGAAACTTGAACCTGAAAGTTGTGGTGAACTGAACTGCAGGAACTTCTTGTGCCGGTGTTTAAACTTGTTTACTGTTACTATGGCAACCCCCTTCACAGTTGATGCCTAGGAACATCATAGAGGTGTTTATATGTAGAATCATTTGGTCAAGTTTATTCTTTCTGATAAGGAAAAATTAACGTGAAAATTTTTGGACAAATAAGTTATATTTTCAAAAAGCATAAAGAAGAACCACTATTGTACTGTATTGTAGCACACAAAGCTCTGTAACTGCTTTAATATTGTCCATATCATATCATCAAAAAAAGTACATTCAGACATTTACTGTTCAAAAAGCAGCGGTTGGAAGCACTATTTAATATATATATATTCAGTATAAACATTCCATATGTTTATACCACTATGTCTCTCGGCTGGCCTGGGAGCGCCTAGGGCTTCCCCCAACAGAGCTGGAGGAGGTGTCTGCGGAGAGGGAAGTCTGGGAGTCTCTGCTTAGTCTGCTGCCCCCGCGACCCGGTTCCGGATAAAGCCGGAGACGACGAGTACGAGTACGACATTTCAGTATAAACATCCCATATGCAAAGTACATAAATTATTCCTGAAAATTTACACTTTTATGATTGATTATTTATACCTATCAAATTAATTAATGATAGTACACAATTACATTATTTTTAGATATTGATAATTATGAAATTAATTATTATTATTTTTTTTTTTTTCATTTATTTGATAGGGACAAGTATGTTTCATGAATCATGTCACACACTACAACATGTTAGCTAAGGCTAATTCTCAATGCCTGTCCCCAGTTAGGCTTTTACACAAAACACAGTGACTGTACACAAGAAACAACAGAACAAATTACACACTAAAACATCACAGAAATGAGATCAGGTCAGTTAGATTATTAATGTTCACATGTCTGATCTCTCAATAAAAAGTCTTTAAGTTTATGTTTAAAAAGGACCCAGTTCGACTCAGTGGTGTAGTCTACATTATTGTAGTGGGTATACTGTTCTTAGAAATAAGAATGTCAGTAAGTGCAATGTAATTGACAATTTTTTTTATTTTTAAGCATATTTGACATTGCTTAATACCTCTGTTGCTTACATTTGAATCAATGAACAACAAACTGTACTACAGTTGGCTTTGTATTGAAAAGACGTAGAATCTATAAAACAGTACAAAATGTATAAAAAGTTCCAGACATGTTTGTTTTGAGGCTCCTTATGTTTCACTTGTCGTCTTGTTTCTGTTGCAGAGCGGTGGTTTCTTAACCATGTTGTCACAAACTTCCTAGGTTCAAGAAGATTAACAGGAGGCCCATTTATACTGATCCTCATGAGATGACTTATATTTGACAACAACAGAGAAAATCTTTTATCTGTACAGATATTGTTCATTAAGCTGAACCCTCTTTCACACTCAGCTGTGCTACATGGAATGGTTTGCATGCAAGTGATCAGTGGTTTAAGGTTTTCAGGCTCCCTGCTATATCTTTTCTTTGCCTTGCAGCTATATTTGCTGTGATCAGTGGAATTAAAGTAGTTTTAATATGTTTTTAAGTGGGAAAATCCACCTGAAAACTTCATCAGTGCAGTCAGTTCATCCAGATTACCATCCTGCCTTGCAATATTATTTCTGTCGGAGCCGCTCAAACCCCCCCATACCGGCGGTGCACTATCAGTAGCAATCCCATTCAACAGCAGCCTATGGCCCGGTCACCTCCTCGCCATAGGCGGACCTACTGGGGTGGCATAGGGTGGCAAATGCCTCCCTAAATGACAGCCTTGCCACCCCTGCTGCCACTCCAGTTGGTGGTAGGGGTGGCCAGGCTTATAAATTATGGATAATTTGAGAATTACGACCGCTAATTTCCAGTGTCGGACTGCAGTGAATGCAGCACGAGATGACGCAAGAGCGACTGAGACTGATTTGTTTTGAAAACCGAGTGGAGCAAAGCGAGGGAGCCCGGGGTCATGGGGAGAGGAGACACGGGATGGAACAGGTAAAACTGATTAACTATCTATCGAGAAATTAAATCATAATGAAAGCACAATGTTGCTAGCATAGCTGCAATGCTGATTTTGAGATGATAAAAATCAGGTTGCAGAACGTTATTTCTCCAACTATGATGTTAGTTAGGCCTGACGTCAGAAAAGAGACTATCAGTTTGGTTGAACTCAAATCAAAACGCGCAAAGGCATTTGATCTAAATAAATGTGTGAAGCGTTTTGCTGAGCAACATGGAAATCGCCACATTCAGCTGTTATAGTCATGTCAACTTTATGTTATGCTCTCTGGTGAGCCTTTACAGAGCTGTTACATTTTGTTTTGGCACCTGAGAAAATCTGATATTTTCTTTAATAAAACCAAAAGTGTTAAAAGTAAAGTTAAAAATGTGATACTGGTGTAAATCCTGCTTAATACAAAGCAGTGTTGTTGTTTCTTTTTTTGTATATATAGTATGAAACTATCCAGAAATGACCTGTATGAACCTACTCACAAAATGTTTTGTACTTTTTCAGACTGGAGGCAAAATGTATTTTTATGTTTCTTTTTTTTCAGATTTGTGGGAGATTTTAATGTAACATAGAGTACCTGCCTTTTTGATGATACAGCAGCTCTATCTACAGCATATCTACATGCATGAAATGTCCCTTTCATGTTGCTGTAACTGCTGTATGTCAAGTTACTGAGGAACAAATGGGGTAAATGTGTGTTCAGAGTAAACATTACATAGATGTCTGGTCCCTTGTTTGGGTGCCTTGACCCATTTATTTCTACTGTGTAGTGATGCTCACTTTAGTCCAGCTCAGTCCATAGATCTCTGATGGGTAACTTTTTCTTTCTATAGTTTCTTCTTGTGCAAATGCTGCAAAGCTGCCTCTCTGACAGTCAATCTCACACATCTGCGACTCAGCACCTGTGTCTTACCTTAATACCTGTGATAATGCCCCTCTAGAAGTAGTGTTTTCATTCTTCTATCTCCTATTAAGTGAGATCACATTGTACGATGTATTACCAATAGGAACTGTTTCACATGAAACACCAAACTGTGATAACTGTGATTAAATTAATTGTAAAAAAAAATGCCATATGTTGCCACCCCTCAAAAATTCCTGCCCCCCCTCTCGCCACCCCGTAAATATTTTTCTAGATCCACCCCTGCTCCTGTCGAACCAGCTACCAGTTTTAGTCTTAGACTTAGACAGATTTATTTAGTCATTTTGTATATACAAGTGTAAACAAAAATAAATTTTGGTTAAAACAGATCTCTAGACAATTTCATTTTTAAAGTGCACCCTTGATAAGGTAAGCAGCAGTTGTTGTTGAGCTGCTAGTACTGCCTCCAGCTCCTGAAGCACTGCTTCTCCTGGCTCAGGGGAGGAAGAGGACGATGATGACGATGCTGTGGGTAGCCCCCTGGGTTGAAGAGGCTGACGTGGTTGAAGCAGCAGTGGTGCCATCGGCAGGTTTAGCAGCGACAGACGATGCTGGAGAAGGTGTGGAAGCTGGAGGAGGCCGGAAGGAGCCAGCTGGGGATGTTTCAGCATTTGGCAGGGAAGCTTCTAGAGCGGTCTCCTCATTTTCACCTGCAGAGGGCTGTGCTTCCCCTCTAGATGCTGAAGATTGCCTGGGAAACAATTTCACACAGAGCTCCTTGTTCCTATAGGAGCGGTACAGCATCCTCCCCCCTCCCAATCGGTAGAATTATTAGACAGCATGGGATTAACTTCCACTGTTATGCTGATGATACCCAGCTATATCTGTCTATAAATTCAGATGAAGCTAACCCATTACATAGATTACAGGCATGTCTGAAGACATAAAAACCTGGATGACTCTTAACTTTCTG